TGTCCAAGTAGATGAGTCATACCAAATACTCAGGCTATTGGAGCCATCAAAGTGCATTTAGAACACTTTGGAAATATTGAAAAAAGAGTTTGTATTAAATTATTTAAGATACAAATAAAGGCCGTATTTCTACATATTCCTCCGGACACTTTCCTATTGGACGAATCGCAGTCTATCGTTGGGTCTCCTCCACGCCTGGCGCCAGTAAGTCCCAGAGAGGACCCAGAAGAAAGCAGCAGATGTCAACAGAGTTTACTGCCCGATGGTGGGAGTTGGCCGCCAAGTACTACATACTCAGATGACCGACCCACCTCACAGGTTTGCAAAGGATTGGCTCGGGCCGGCCATAGTCAAGGCCCATGTGGCCCCGGTACTGCATTGTATTAAGACCAATAAGGAATATCGAGTACATGTTAAGAACATCAAAGCTTACATACCTCCGATATGCCGCGATGAGATGATTCCCCGAGGCACGACGGCCAACTCGATATACGCATATTTTCTGTTCCATGATTCCCAATATGCACAATTCATCTCCGACGACCAGCGGCAAGCACTAAAATTTGCCTTCTGAACGTATGCGGCCGCCATTCGATTCCAGTATGGCCTTAATGGGGCTTGTATCAAGTGGACCCGGTTTTGTACTAAACATCCCCACCCCCAAACCAGTGATTTCACCCCTGACGATGAGATGTTCTTCCTCAAACAAGCACATGAAGTCGCCACCACAACGGGAACGCTAAGCGGGATCAAGCGATGTTTTCGATTCGCCGTGGACGAGACCTACCGGCAGGAGCTCTACACTATTTGGGAGCTCAAACACAACGCAACAATGCTCCTGGATGCGATCCCGTCGGCATGAGTGCGGTTCCACCCTTTCCTGTTTTTTGAGACTGAGCTTCTAGTTATTTTTCTACTGTTTGGTTTTTTCTTCGAAATCACCAATTTTAACATTTATGGAGTAAGTAGCCCTGTCCAGCGGAGCAAATGGCCTCTCTGAATGTCCTCCAAAAGTCCTCCTAAAATCGCCACGAGTCTCCCCGGGGCTGTAAAACAAGGGTGGACAGAACCGGCCCTAAAGGCCGAGTACAGGTGCATGCCCCCGGCCCTCAGACCCGGAAGTTCACATGGCCACCCGAGTAAACCATCTGATAATAACTAAGAAACTACGTAGAAAACCTATAGTAGTTTTAGTCTAGCAGTACAGTACTTCTCCCATTGAAGTACCGTCTGCATAAAGTAACTTAATAAATCGTTAGTTGAATAGAAGTCCTGTGTCATCTGCCCTACCAGCAAATACAAATTTCGGTATTTATAAAGCGGGCTGCCAGCTTGCCAGTGTTCGTAGTGTGATTGGTGAACCAATCTAGTCTGTCAGGCTCCCGGGAATGTGAGTAAGAAACACCTGGTACACATGGAATAATGAAGCATGAGAGTTGTAGATTTGCAATCGCGGTCGAAACGGAACTCGTCGGCACTAGCTAACTTGGGACGTGCGACATAACGACAGTCAACGATCAAAACATCAGTAAGCACAGTGCAAAATATTATAAAAAAAGTATTTATATATACATACTGTCAGTCTGCCACTGTATGTAATTATGTATTTGCATATTTTGTTACCTCTCTTGTCATTTGTGTGATTTTGAGCTCTTTCCTGGGGAGTACAAGTGTTATCTAATATGAATACTCCAAATTGCGGCATTTATTCAAGTTATATCCATATGTAGATACAAAAACCAAAACGCGGGCTGCTGTACATGTACATTGGTTGTACATTAAACAATTGCACAACACACGTGCATAAGGCTAACATTACTTCTAAGTCTCGTGATTCACCTATTATCACCAACTATTGTCTGACCTTGTCTTGGAGAATTAAAAGTGTGTATAGATGTTGAAAATAAAATGGGAATTGAAAGTAGAAAGCCTACTCGCAGTATGGTATATGCATACATTTTAAACTCAAAATCGTTATCGAGCGAGTTGCATGGGACTCTAGAGTCTCTATAAGTCAAACTAACTAAAGAGTACATGTTGGCTTACGAGAGCTATCAGACGGAGTTGATCAGTATCACGCTGACGTGTTATGTTTGGCTATTTTTCTGTTCGGCTGATCCTGGCTCCCAGCATTCTTTTATAAGTAATTAAACGTAGAAGAATTCAGAGGTATATATTCTATCATGTCACAAGGGGTACTCGATCGTATATCCAGCTACAGCAATTGTTTTGTATATTGAGTGTCTCTGCAGTCTGTGACTTTCTCAGAGACAAATCATAATTTTCGAGGGACACAACCACTAAATTCAGAGGGCCACGTGTTTATTGTTTTAGCTACAACGAGCAGAGGAGCTGGCCATAGCTTCATCGATCTGCATCTCGCGTACTGAACTCTATTTCTGACAATTAACCACTCAGCCGTACAGCGTTGCAGTATAATTGATTTTAACAGGTTATCTGCAACTGCCACCTTAGTGTATACACAACACCAAGTGACAGCGAAATTGACTGGCGCGGTACTGATCGTTCTTTAACCACTTTTCAGTATAGAAGCGCTGACCACTCTCGTGAAGAATGCATATCAATCATAAATACAAAAAATCGAACCGAATTAAAAACAGTAAAGTTATCCACCGTTGCTATCATCGCCGTTGTTGCCGTGGTTGCTAGTGTCCACGTCCACTCCATCCTCGAGGACGAGTTTAAGATCATTTGTGCCGAGAAGTGTGAGCGCAATACCCACGCAATGACAGGACGCATCCACAAGAGTAAGGATTGTTGCCAGTGGTCTGGAGAGTGTGGTGACCTTAAGAAGTGCACGCAGTCATACTGCGAGAGGGACGGCCGTGCCTCCGATGTATACGTCTACGAGAAGTGTATTGATTTTCAGTTCTAAATTACATAAATAAACCCTGAAGTATTTAAGCATAAAAAATATCGATGTTTAAGGGTTTCAAATTTATGATGATAAACGACACATGTACGATCTCCTTTGCTTGAAGCAGTGACTTTCAACCAACAACCACTACGGTACAACCATATAGAAGTTGGCGTAGAAAACTCGTATGCACAGTTTTATTCGCTCTTAAATGATGCTTAGTAGTCCGGCACGGCCGAAAACTTGTATGGCATGTTTTTCTTGCGCTTCTCCGATATGACTAGCAGCCTCTCCAACACGCGTAAACATTACAGCAATCATGTAGTGGTTGAGTGTGAGGCTTGATATTCCAACGAGCCTCAGTCGGTAGTATCTAGGGAATATAAGGATACTTGTAGGTGTGTGTGATTTAGTATATACGAGCATACGATTGTACGACATGTTGAGGATGATGCGCACTACTTGTCTGATAGGTGCGGGTGTGTAGTCCTATGTGGGTGATAGGATGGCAAAAGAATTGAGCGCACATACAAACAACCCAACACTTGTACTACCACTTCTACAGTACTGAGTTTGCCCCACAGAGAGCCGAGCTCTCGCCTGCCTCAGCGATCGGAGACAGAATAGCAAAGGAAAATTCTCCTACAGTGCACAGAACCACCGACAGAATGCGAATACTCTCGTGACAAACTCAGACCAGACATGAACTTGGTCAACCCAGGTCTCTAAGGGTACCACGTAGGGCTTGGTTCTGGACTCACGCCCCGAAACAACGGGTTCTCAGTGCTACAGTCACTCCCATCCTGTTCTAAATTCCCTCTCTCCCCCATGTCAAACGTGCTTGATGCAGATTTCGCAATCAACGGGCTATGCGTATAAGTCCCCGCTAGGTTGGTGGAAGAGTGATCCGCATCCGTGACCGCCTCTAAATTGGTTAGCACGGGCGAGTCCTGTACAGCGGAAAAGCCGTCGAGATCGAAGCTGAACTCCCTGTCCCGCATTACGCCCGACCCCATAGCGGTAAGTGTGTTGCTTGATGCTTGGCTCCGGATGCCTGCCTGCAAGTTCTGGGGTAGTGCGTGTTTCTGTGCAGATCGATTGTCCTGCATATGCGACCGGGACCTACCGGTGTACTCCGTGTCCGATTTGTGGTCATACATGTAACTGTGGCCCTGAGAACGACCATCCCGTGATTCCAATTGTGGTGCCAAGTGACCAGAAATCTGTCTCGAGACCTGAATGCCCTTGTTTTTGGTTTCGACTGCACCCAATTCATTAACGGGCGTCGTGCTACGGGACACACTACGTTCACGTTCAGCCTCACTTACACTGGCCATGCGGTTTTGAACATCAGCGACACTTCCACGTTTCCTACTCACCACCCGCTTTTTCCCCGGGGTGTTGCCAACCACAGCCGTTGCCATGGCAATGAACTCCTTATCTCTACTCAGGCTACTCGCAACCCCCGTGTCGGATTTCGTTCCACTTCTACGGTCATCCACGTCGCTGGACTCGCTGCTGCTCGAAACGTCCATGAACACACTTGTGCTGCCCAGCGTACGACCGCGTTTCTCAGCCAGTTCTAAGGGGGTCACCTCACCATTGGCCAACTGCAGATGCTTCCCGGGGGTCAATCCATGGTTAGAGTGGCGTCTCCGTGGGGGTCCCTTATCACTCAGTTGGCTATGGCGCCTGTGCGCTTTCACACTGTCGGGTTTAGTGTAGTCAAACATTTCATTGTCACCATCGTCCCGCTTTCCTGCACCACCGGCCAAAACGGTATCCTCCCACAGCAACCCCGTCATCGAATACGGCATCTCCGCACTACGACTGCCCTGTAGCGGTTTGTGACTGTGCCCCCTCTCGCTTTGATCACCCGTGTCATTCAAGCCAAAGCGTTGGGACCCGGCATCATACCTTCGGCTCTCGTGCGTTGAACCTGCCCTCGACCTATCCAGTTGGTGTGGGACGTCTCGCAGGCCTAACCGGGCTGTACTGCCATTTGTATGCAGGTCAAAGGTACCGCTGCCGTACGCACCTTTCTCTCCACTACCCGCAGATGCTCCCAGGGTGGCACCAGCCCCCCTATTGCCCGAGCTCTTGCGGGCCAGAGCAAAGCTGCCAGTACTATCCTTCATATTGCTGAGTGGGTGTTCGTAGTCGCCACTGTTGTTGCCAGCGCCGTCGTTGCTATTGGCCCTCATATAGTAGTTGTGCTTGGCGTAGGCGTTGGTTTTGTGGTGATTGTTGTGATCGTAGTCGTAGTCGTGCTCGTCAATATCCGGAGTCAGAATACGCGGCGACGTCTCCTGCGGCGTGAAGTCAAACAACGGTTGTCTAGCAACGCTCGCGACCGTCCCTACACCCAATGACGTCATCAGGCTTGGGCTGTTTATAGTTTTCTCAATGACTACGGGTGACTGGTTCACATTCGCCCTCGTTTTGATGGTGTAGCTATTCGGTACGTGTTGGTACGCATGTGCATGTGCGTACCCAGGAGTGTGTGTGGTGCTGCTGGCAGTGTTGCCGCTGGTCTCGTTGGGGTTGTTGCTGCCGTTGTCCGCGGGCGTGTGGGTGGGCGTCTGCTTCAGTCGTTGCGCGTACCCGTGCGCCTGCATGCTGCTGTCGCTATTAATACCACAGTAGTCGTCCTGGTTCTGGGCATCTGTGTACGGGTTCGTCCCGCCCGCAAAAGTCGAATTGCTCCTATTCACCGTAGCGCTGGAACTGTGCGACGGGGTATTGTTGCGTGACAGACTATGACTGCGATCTCGATCACGCCCCATAACGAGCCGCGCATTCGAACTCTGTTTCGACATAGATACAGACCCCACCGATCCTGTTTTCCTAACATTAAGGTTTAATCGTCCCCCGCTTCCCGAAGGGAAACTACGCAGATCCTCCCGAAACTCTGTTCCTGGTTCCATATTGCCCTTTCCATCAGCCCTGTAATCGTAGTCGTCGCTCTCCAAATCTTCGGATGCACAACTGGTCCCGGTTCCCGTCTCGGTATTGCTCGCCAGGCCAGCCAGCGCGCCTGTGGAAAGGAGCCTGACCCGTGAGTTACCCTTGTAGAGCGCGTTCTGTATGTCCTTTTGTGTCGGCACAAACGAGGGCGCTGATACGCGCGACGTGCCCTTCTGTAGCGCCGCTTTGATCTCTTGTTGCGATGGGATCCACTGCAGACTCTCGGTCGAAATCCCGCTCTCCTCTCCCCCTACTGTGCCGGTACTGTTGTTGGAAGTACCTTCCTTGTCCTTGTCTTTACGTTTTTTGCTCTCCTTGTCCTTGTGCCCGTGGCTGTGGCTGTGGCGCCCGAGACCCGAGATGGAATTACGTAAACTCGTGAAGCTGGTACGGCTATTCGAGCGCTCTCGCAGGACTGTCTTGCTAGTAATGTTCGCTGATACCGCACCAGATCCCGCTGACCCGGTCTCACTGATTGGACGTGATCGGGGGGAGAGCTGTCCGGACGCACCAGACCCGCTATGAGATACCGGTTCTCTCGTACTCGTACTCGTGCCCGCACCTACCGCACCTTGGCCCACACTAAACCGTTTGAAACTCTCGCTGGCGAGTTTCTTCTTCCCACTCGTTCTACAGCTGGAGTCAAATGAGCTCACTGGCGCACCGCCCGCGCTGGCCGGCCGGGCCAGCTTCGGTGACTTGATTGCCATAGCAACAAAGTCCGCACCGGCACTCTCGGTGGTGGCAATGCTGCCGTGTTCCTCTGCATTGGTGTGGGGTTTACTCCGTGAGAAGTCAAAGGTACTTGTTGGTATGTCCACACCCCTGAGAGTGTACGTCCCGCTATTGCCGCCCGTGCTTACCGGGACGCCTGTGCCTCTGGGTTTCTCCTCGCTTATGGGAGACTCCATCTCCTTCCCTCGCGAGAAATCGAAAGTACTGGTAGGATACGCCAGCGATCCAAACTTCCTGAAGCTATCATGGCTCTTTTGCTTGTCACCACCTTCTTCAGGCCGTACATCTGCATGGCTGCCGCTGCCGGGGGCTGCATTCGTAGTGGTACCGGCTGCTTTATCTCTCCGAGAGAAGTCAAACGTGCTGGTGGGATACCTCACACTGCCTACCTGCCGCGTGGCTCCGCTTGAACTCCTACTCGATCCGCCCGACCCTGTTGTGGCGGTATGCGCAGGCGTTTCGATTCCCGCAGTTAACAGACCCGAACGACTAAAAAACGTACTGGACTGGTCATAAAACGTACCGGAGGCACTCCTCACAGGCGCCGTGGCCTCGTGTTCCTGGACCGAGAAATCAAAGTCACTCGCCGGCAAATCCAAACGTAAATTGCTTCCCGTACTCTTGGCCCTCGGCCAATTACCTATTGGGGCTGTCTGGGGTAGGCCTTTCCCCAGAGGCAGACTGTCACTCTGTCCCCCACCCGTCCCAGTAAGCTTATCCGTAGCCACAGCACTCTTCTGTGCAACCGTGGCCGTGTGGCTTCTTTCCCCGTCGCCTCGCCGTGAGAAGTCAAAGGCACTGGTCGGGTACACAAACCCTTTCACCTCTGCGGCACTCTCTGCGCGTGCATGCGAGTCGGCGTTCTTGATGGTGTCGGTGCTGGTGTTGGCCCCAGTGTCTGTGTCTGTGCTGGTGCTGGTGATCGTATGCTCGATTGTGCTGGTGCTTGTACCTGTGCCTGTGCTATGGCCTGTGCCTTCCTCTTTATTTCGGCGCGTGAAGTCGAATGTGCTGAGTGGTGTGCCCATGGCTGCGGTCTTGGCCGACGCTGCACTAGAGCCTGGCCCCACCCCGGTGGCATTAGATTGGCCGCTATTTATAGAACTGTTCCCACTACTCTCCTCTTCCCTCTTAACCGCATTTGCACCACCAGGACCACTGGCACGTCTGCCAAAGTCAAACACACTGGTCGGGTACCCCCCGGCAAAACTCGTGGACTTCGGTCTGTCTGTAACCCCCCCACTTGACGCGCGTTTGGCAAAGCCGAACAACGCACTGCCACTGGTACCGTTGCCACTCAAGCTGCTGCTGTGTAGCACACCCATACCACGACCCCCGCTTAGGCCGCTCTCGCCGCCTGCGTCACTGTCACTGTCGTCGTCCCTCCGGTTGCCATGGATACCGTGTACGCCTAAACCAGACGCACTGGTCCGCTTCACAACCAACAGCCCGTCCTTCGAGGAGGAGCTCGTTGTGTCCCCTGGTTCGGCGATGTCGTTGAGTTTGTTTATGCTATCCACCCGTTTAAGCGGACTAGATGCACGCCCCGAATTTCGGCGGGAAAACTCTAGAACTCCATTGGGCGTTCGACTGCCGTGTTCGCTCCCACTGCGCGCTCGTGATCTGGGCGAACCGATATCTAGCCCGGTGTACAGGCTGGTGCTGGTGCTGGCGCGATTTGATTGGCTCCTATTTATAAGCGGCCGGGGGCTGAGAGATAGGTTCTAGATTGGGAAGGGTTACACAAACGGTGATATCAGGGCGTGAAGGTGATGAGGGAAGATGACCAACGCTAGAAACAGGACACACATGCAATAAAAAACAACAACTTTTTTTAATCTTTTTCTAATGCTGTAAAGGATTATGCTGAATCGGTCAAAACACACGACGGGGTTTTATGCTGTGTACGGCACGCTGTACGGCAAAGTGGGGCCAATTCAATTGGGATTAAAAGCGTACAGAGGTGCAACAGACATACACTTAAATGTATTGCACATACCTTCGCTGAGGTCAAACTGTTTGGGGTGGCACTATTCACGATTACCCTGGGCGATTCCGGTACACCACCGCTCCCCATCCCGGTATTGGCCAAAGCCGTATCAACATGGCTCAGCCAAGTTCGCTGAACTCGACCGGGCGTGGGTGGTGACCCATTTTTCCCGTAAAGGTTCCCACTCACAGTTCTACCTGAAAGGTGGGTTTCGGGATCATTTTGGCTCTGTTTTATGGCCTGGTCCATGAATTCACCCATCCGCAAAGAAATGGTGCGGAAAGAGGGCCGGCGTGTTGGGTCGCGGTTGGTGCATTCGATAGAAAGTTCGAGCATCTCACTACAGATATCTTTGCGTGCAGTCTCCCAAGCTGGTGCTATCAAACCCATGCCCACCATCACCAGAATCTGCACATTTGTTGAGTGGCGTGATTTCAAGGTCAGTATAAATGCATACATACTTGCTTAGATACAAATATGAAGTCCGATGTAGTATATATATATATATATACACTTTCTCTATATTCTGAAGTGCATCGCATCTCATTGCATCGCATCTCAATGCGCACACACACACATTCCACACGCAAATGCAAATCTACCTGAAGACAAACCAAAGACAGCTCGCACTATAGCCGAGAAATAAAACGCACATACATACACAAATATACTCATGCAGCTGTACACACGTGCACGCAACAGTGTCCATACAATTGTAAACACATTCCAATACATTCACACATACGAACACAGATATATATATATACATATATATATATATATAAACACACACACACACATATATATATATATACATACATATAAATATACGCGCACACTATATATATATATATATATATTATATATTCTTTATATATAGTATAATATAAATTAATGTTGTAATAATATAATAATATAATAATATAGTAATATATATATATATTATATATATACATATACATATAAATACACACACACACATACACACATACACATACACACACGCACACACATATATATATATGTATGTATGTTGTGCAGGACTACCAACCTGGTCCGGAATCAACCCTTTGTATGGTAGTTCCGCAGCTAAGATTTCGTACATGACTATGCCATACGAGTATACATCCGAGAAATAGAAGTCTAGGTCTTCATCCGGTTTCCTCCGGACCATTTCCGGTGCCATCCACAGTATACTGCCCACTGGAGTGGACGTCGTGTCGCCGCTTTGGCCCACATTTGACTTAGCTGCAAACGAAGTGAAAATATGATTTTAATATACTTTTGATAGAAACATGCGCTTCAAATATGCTTTTCATATACTTTTGATAGAAATATACGCTTCAAATATGCATTTCAATGGGATGTAAACCTTTGATATTATATTTATAGAAATTCTTATCATACACTTTTGAAGTATACTAAGTTTTAATCTAGTGACGGCACTAGCTTCCATCTAAAACCACTTGGAACCACAGGCGAACGGCATGACAGGTTATTGTGCATTCAGAAGTCTTCATTGCTCACAGAGCACATGGCAATGCCATTTTTGGCTTAAGATATATGTCTACATCACGAATATATATATATATATATATATATATACTGTGGCATCACACTACGACACTTTTATATATATAGACAAGAATCTTCAAATGGTCTATCATAATAGCCAATCAATACACACATCTTTAAAGCTCCAATCTGAGTTGATAGGTACACATTAATATGTTTACTATACCTGCGGCAAGTCCAAAGTCTCCGATGCGCACAGAGTACGTGGCAATGCCATTGTTGCACTGTGAAACTAAAAAGATGTTTGCCGATTTCAAGTCTCGATGCACAATTTGCTTCGCGTGTAGGTAGCTGTGAGCAGAGAAGGTAGTGGGATACAATTCCTGAGCATGTGTATTGCCAAACGCAAAACCTTGACCATATATGCATACACACATGTATACATAAATACATACATACATACATACATACATACGTACACACACACACACACACACACACACATACATACATACAATACAATACATACACACAGACACAGATACAGACACAGACACAGACACATATATATATATATATATGTGTGTGTGCGTGTGTGTGTATAGGCACAATATGCACCCATCGTATAGCCACCAAATTGCATACTCGTACGCAACCGAGCATACACGGACCGCTGAGAGGAGGTGCTGATCGTCTTCATAGAGGCGTTTGACGAGCATGAACGTTTCACAAGGACGCATGATCTGTCCATTCATAACGCACATGCCGATACCAACCAAAGCACTCAGCACAACCTCTTCATACATCCAACATAGTGATACAACTGACATACCTCAGCACAACCTCTTTATACATCCAACATAGTGATACAACTGACATACCTCAGCACAACCTCTTCATACATCCAACATAGTGATACAACTGACATACCTCAGCACAACCTCTTCATACACCCAACATAGTGATACAACTGACATACCTCAGTACAACCTCTTCATACATCCAACATAGTGATACAACTGACATACCTCAACCCAACGGCACACTCGTACGCCACCGAGCACACATCCACCTTTGTGAGAGGTTGCTGATCGTCGTCGTAGAGGCGTTTGAAGAGTGTATCCCCTTCACACCACTCCGTAATCAGGCACAGTTTAGGCGGGATTGTGCAGGCGCCCATAAACAGCAGGATGTTGTCATGGCGACAGGCCCTGTGATTGACAAGCGTGTGTGAGAGAGAAAGTAGCTAGTGCTAAGAGAGCGTATGAGGAGCTATGTAATGGCTGTATGTTTGAACGTATAGTAGTTAGGTGTGCAAGTGAAGTCTCGTGCTCATGCCGTTACGCAGGATCAAATCTCAAGCCTGGACACTAATGAGAGGACTGATGGGAGGTATATATATAGTAACAATCACGGGTTAGACACGGTGCGTGGAAGTCGTCAGAGATGTGTGTTATTGAACGGGGCATGCTGGAGTTACAGGTGAGAGTCTGTGTGGATGGGAATGGACATGTAAACGTACAATCCGATTTCGAATTGCACCTGCATACACGGTACAAATTGTTGTTCCTTGGCACGGTAGTTCAGCGCTCAGTTTGTTTTACCGGCACACCCACGAACAAATACGCACACACTATACGGACTCAGCAAACAAGTAGAGCATCCCCACAGCATGATTAGATTATAGACAACACACACACACACTTATATATATATATATGCATATACACATATATACATACA